CGCATGTTAACGGAAAAAGGAAAAGAATTCATAAAGAAAAACTAAAGGGGCTGCAGCGTCACTTTGAAAGTACCTATGACAGATGGAAAGCATTAATTAAAGTTGCTAAAAAATCTGTTATCAGAGGAGATCCATTTGACATTCTTGAAGGTCACATGGACATTGTGCAAAGAGAACTAGCCGCTCTTAATGATATTTATGATCAATACAGAGCAATAGATGGACCACCTCATGATATGCGTTCCAAATTAGACAAATGTACATCAGTGACTAAGTTAGTTTTGCAAAACATCCAGTGCCACGTTGAGGGAACAAATAAGGAGGAGATTGTTTGGCCTGATGCCAGTTCTATATTTACATCTTCTAGCTCAAGTAGTGTCTCAGTTCATAGTCATTTTAAACCCAGTACAGTTATCTCTAATGGCTCCTCTGTCAAAAGACAAGAAGCTGTAGCAGAGTATGAAGCCACAAAGGCTGTGCTTAAGATAATGGCTGAACAAGAGAGAATTAGAGAAAAAATGCAAACCATAGAAGAAGAAGACAAACTCAGAACTGCAGAACAAGAAGCTGCTGCGATGTCACAACGCCATCAAGAGGAAAGAGAGGAAACAGAACGCAAGTTAAAAAGAGAAAAGGAGAAGGCGGCTGTGATAAAGAGACAACAAGAAGAAAGTGCTGCAAGGAAAAGATCAGTTGAGGACTTAAAAAGAGAACTTGAAAGACTGGAAAATCTGAAAGGACTCAATGCAGCAAAGGCAAAATTACAAGTTTATGAAGAAGACTACTTTTTAGTAAAGCAAGAAAGAATCACTCCGAATCCTGCAAACATACAGGTAACTGAGATGAAGAACACTGCCAATCAACCACCACAGTTAAATGTCGTTCACGAGAGCACAGGTGAGCTTGTAAAAGTTTTGGCAGAAGCTATGTCAGCTAACAGGCTACCAATTCCAGAGCCTTCAATATTTAGTGGGGATCCACTTAAGTTTAAACATTGGAAGGCATCATTTCAGACTCTAATAGAGAGAAAGAACATTCCCATTGCAGAAAAGATATTTTTCTTACAGAAGTATGTAGATGGGAGTGTTAAAGAAGCCTTAGAAGGCTATTTTCTGATTGGCTCTGAAGATTCTTATAAGGCAGCATGGAATATGCTCAATGATCGTTATGGAGAGCCTTTTGTTATTGCAAAAGCCTTTAGGGACAAGTTGCACACATGGCCAAAGCTCCAAGGTAAAAACAGTGCAGAGTTAAGAAAGTTTGTGGATTTCTTACAAAGCTGTCAATCTGCAATGATTACCAATGAGAACCTGAACATCCTCAATGATGCAATAGAGAATCAAAGACTTGCTGCTAAACTGCCAGACTGGTTAAGCAACAGATGGAACCGAAAGGCTACAGAGTATCAGTTAGAGCACAGACAGTTCCCACGTTTCAGTTACTTTGTAACATTCCTGTCAATGGAGGCAAGTATTGCATGTAATCCCATTACATCATATGAAGCTATAAGACAAAGTGACTTTGACAAACCAAAGATCAAGTCTCTACTTACACCCATTCATAAGAAGCAAAATACAGCGAACATCTTCACAACTAACTCCAGAGAAAGAAGCATGATCTCTTGTGTATTTTGTAAAAGAGCAGGACACAGCTTACACAAATGTCGTAAGTTCACTGAGAAACCAGTCACTGAGAGAGTCAAGTTCATTCAAGGTGAAAAACTATGTTTTGGCTGTTTAAACAGTGGTCACTTCTTCAAGAACTGCAGCAATCGGATGACATGCAACACATGCTCAAAACAACATCCCACATGTCTGCACGAAGAAAGACAAAGACACGAGACAAAGAAAGAACAACCTAAAGAACAAGAAGTAGCTGAAGGGAAGGAAACCCAGGAACAGGTAACACAATCACAAGAAACAACGAAAGTTAATGAAAGTACATCTAACAGAGTGACTCATGAAAGTAGAAACACACAGACATCTGCAATAGTACCTGTCTATGTATCCACACAAAATGAGCCACACAAAGAAATACTTACCTATGCTCTGCTGGACACACAGAGTGATTCGTCTTTTATTCTCAATGAAGTAGCAAACAACCTGAACACAGCTAAAACCCAGGTTAAACTCAAATGATCTACAATGTCATCCAAGAAAACAACTGTAGCATGTACAAAACTTGAAGCTCTGCAAATAAGAGGATTGTTTTCCAAAAAGAAACTCACTGTGCCAGTTGCTTACACACGTGATTTTATACCTGTCAATCGTAGCCATATTCCTACTCCAGACACAGCAAGGTCATGGCCACATTTGGAACATCTCACTGAACACATTGCTCCACTATTGGACTGTGAGATAGGACTCCTGTTAGGCTATAATTGCACACAAGCTTTAATGCCCAGAGAAGTCATATGTGGTGAAGAAAACCAGCCTTATGCCCAGAAAACAGATTTGGGTTGGAGCATCATAAGTTACTGTGATTTGTGTGATGCAGGCAGCGATGTAATTGGAGTAAGTCATCGCATCACTGTAAAGCAAGTAATACCAGAGACTGAGCCAACCACAAAGCTAAAGAATAAAGTTCATTACATCTGCAAGACACAGATGAAAGAAGTAACAGGTCCAGATGTAATCAAAGCACTTGAATTAGATTTTACAGAGAGAGCAGTGGAAGAAACAAGCATTTCACAAGAAGATGTCTGCTTCCTAAGAAAGCTGCATGAAGGAATCAAACAAAAGCAAGATGGACATTATGAAATGCCTCTGCCTTTCAAAAGTGACAGACCAAATCTTCCCAACAACATGTCAAGTGCAATGCAACGTTTAAGCAGTCTCAAACGCAGATTCATAAGGGATCAAAGGTACTACTCAGATTATGCAAGGTTCATGGAGGACATTATTGCACGTGGTGATGCAGAGAAAATACCGGAGAAGGAAATCTGTAATTCCCCTGCCTGGTATATTCCCCATCATGGGGTATACCACCCTCAAAAGCCTGGCAAGATCCGTGTTGTTTTTGACTGCTCTGCACAATATCAGGACATTTCGCTGAATGAACACCTGCTTACAGGGCCTGACCTCACAAACACTTTGGTGGGAGTACTCTGTAGGTTCAGGAAAGGCTCAGTGGCTGTAATGTGCGATGTGGAGCGTATGTTTCATCAGTTCCATGTAACACCTCAAGACCAGGATTATTTACGCTTCTTATGGTGGGAGCATGGTGATTTAAGTGTTCCCCCTCGGTCTTTCGCATGAAGGTTCACCTGTTTGGTGCAGCTTCTTCACCTGGTTGTGCCAATTTTGGTTTAAAACATCTAGCCACACAAGGTGAGGGAAAGTTCTCTCCAGACACAGTAAAGTTCATTCAAAGAAACTTTTATGTAGATGATGGACTTGTAAGTGTTACATCAGAAGCAGAAGCAATAAAACTAGTCAAAGAAGCAAGAGAGCTGTGTAACACAGCTAAACTAAGATTACACAAGTTTGTATCAAACAGTGAAAATGTGTTAAAATCACTGCCCAGAGAGGAGTGTGCTGACAGTATTAAAGATTTGGATCTAGCACTTGGAGAGCCACTGATGGAAAGAGCACTTGGTGTTCAGTGGTGCATCTCTTCTGATGAGTTTCAATTTAGAATAAAAGTCAAAGAGCACCCAATGACAAGAAGAGGAATCCTGTGCACAGTAGCATCAGTGTTTGATCCACTGGGATTTGTGGCACCCTTCATTCTAAAAGGAAAACAAATCCTACAACAGTTATGTCAAGAGAAAGTCGGATGGGACGAGCCTCTTTCAGATCAGCTCTACAGAGAGTGGGAATCCTGGCTCCTAGATCTTCAAAACTTGTCAAAGGTGAGAATCCAAAGATGTATGCTACCTGAAAACACAGATATCACACAGTGTGATTTACACAGTTTTTCAGATGCCAGTTTGACAGGCTATGGACAATGTAGCTATTTAAGAACAGTCACATCCAAAGGGGATGTTCATTGTGCACTAGTCATGGGAAAGGCACGTGTTGCCCCAACCAAAGTCACTACTGTCCCTAGACTTGAATTGACAGCTGCAGTAGTTGCAGCAAGAACAAGTGTAATGCTAAAAAGTGAACTGGAAATCAGCAATCTTCAAGAATATTTCTGGACAGATTCCAAAGTGGTGTTAGGATATGTGAACAATGATGCCAAAAGATTTCATGTGTTTGTGGCAAATAGGATTCAAAGGATAAGGTCACTCACAGATCCACATCAGTGGCATCATGTACCATCTGAAAATAATCCTGCAGACCATGCATCAAGAGGACTAAGTGTCCAACAGCTACTCAAATCTAACTGGTTTAAAGGACCAGAGTTTTTGTGGCAAAGTGAGTTACCCATCGAAACTGACAAGGTTGTTGAAGTTTTTCCTAATGATCGAGAGCTAAAAACAGTACATGTGCTCAAAACAGAAGTACAAGAAAGGAGAACAATACTTGATCGTCTCAATAAATTTTCTGACTGGAGAAGAGCTGTTAAAGCTATTGCTCGTCTAAGGAAATTTGTGAGAGATTTTAAAGGAGACACACAAGCAAAAGGTGGAAACACATGTGTTGAGGACAGACGAGAAGCAGAACTATTCATAATAAAACTTGCACAAGAAAAACACCTTCAGTAAGGAAATCAAGGACTTAACCCAAGGAAAAGACATCCAACTCAAGGATAAGACACACAGGCTGCATAGCTTAAACCCATTTGTTGATGAGCAAGGAGTACTCAGGGTGGGAGGATGTTTAACAAGAGCAAGTCTGCACCCATACATCAAACATCCTGCCATTATTCCCAAATCAAGTAATGTGTCGTCTTTACTGATTAAACACTTCCATGAAAAGATGCAGCATCAAGGAAGAGGAATTACTGTCAACGAGCTGCGTTCCAATGGACTGTGGATCACAGGATGCAGCAGTGCAGTTGCTTCACACATCTACAAGTGCACAACCTGCAGAAAGTACAGGAGGCATACACAAGATCAACAGATGTCAGATCTACCAGAGCACAGAATGGAAACAACCCCCCCATTCTCTTACTGTGGTGTTGACTGTTTTGGACCTTTTTATGTAAAAGAAGGCAGAAAAGAACTAAAAAGATATGGTCTTTTGTTTACATGTATGTGTTCCAGGGCAATACATATTGAAATGTTAGATGACCTTACTACTGATGCTTTTATTAATGCATTGCGTTGTTTTATTTCTATTCGTGGACATGTAAGACAAATCAGATGTGACCAAGGAACAAATTTTGTCGGTGCTAAGGGAGAGTTTTTGAATGCACTGAAGGACTGTGACAAAGAACAGTTGAAACAATATGGATGTGAGTTTGTTCTGAACACCCCATCCTCAAGTCACATGGGAGGTGTTTGGGAGAGGCAGATTAGGACTGTCAGAAGCGTTTTAACTGCTATTCTGGATAAAACTTATAAGAGACTCGATAGTTCTTCCCTCAGAACGTTTCTGTATGAGGTGATGGCTATTGTGAATAGCAGGCCGCTAACAGTAGAAAACCTAAGTGATCCAAGTTCAGAGCCTCTCACACCAAATCATATTCTCATGATGAAGTCCAGTGTTATTCTGCCTCCTCCTGGTGAATTTGTAAGCCAGGACTTGTACCTGAGAAAGAGGTGGCGCCAAGTTCAGTTTTTAGCTAATAAATTCTGGACAAGGTGGAAGAAAGAATACCTTCTTAATCTTCAACAGAGACAAATCTGGCAAAGAAACAAGAGAAATGCAAAGGTAAACGACATTGTTATTCTTCAAGAGGACAATTCTCCAAGGAACAAGTGGAAACTGGCAAGAGTAACAGAAGTATATACAAGCGCAGATGGAAGGATCAGGAAGGTGAAGCTGTTACTAAGTGACTCGACCTTGGATAAGGATGGAAAAAGGACTGTCAAGCCAGTGTATCTTGATAGACCAGTTCATAAAACTGTGTTGTTACTGGAAGCAGAGTAAATGTTAAAATGTAAATATATTCCTATTTAATGTTGTATGTTATTTGAAATCACCATAGGTTTGTGATTTGGTGGGAGTTTTACTGCCAAAGTTTTAATTTACAGATTTTATTTTGTATTATTTATAGTTTTTTGTTAAGACTCTTATTTTGAAGGTTTAAGGTAGGAAGTAGATGTAGAAGCGTCTGGTTACCAGGTTACCAGAGACGCTTGCGATATAACAGCATCGCGTTGGCAAGCAGATGAAGAAACATGATTTAAGTGTAAGAATTTACTGAATGACCTCATTTCTACCTCAAAAGGAAGGGTTAGCCAGCGAGGTATGTTTATATGTTTTATGTTATTTTTATATCGATATTGTATTCTTGACACCATCTCACTAAGTTTACGTTGTGTTTTAGTTCGACGGTGGTGTTGGTGTCAGGGAAACTGAAGCTGTAATAAGAACGTCTTTAAAGAGTTTCATTAAAGCTGACTTCACATCAGCAGTGCGACGAACTCTTAATTGCCATAAAAGAAGAAGAGGTGGAAGTGATACTTTTCATTAAGCCAACATTTCCGTCTAATTTTACCATTGTGACTCTAATGTGATGTTTTAATCTTCTAAGAATTGAAAAGTCTTGTTTTCATTAGAAGCACGTCATAAGAAACTGAATGGTGTGAAAATATGGGAAAATGAACTTTTCCACAATATTCCAAATTAGTTTGCTTTACAATGTGAAAAAAGGATTAAGAAATGCGATCTTATTCTTTTAGTTTATCTTTTAAAGTACCAGAATTGTACATTTATATTCTTGTCTACTTAAAATATTTTTGTGTGAACAAAATCATTTGAAAACCTCACTGTGCTTAGTTTCTCTGACTCAATCAGCAACTGATTGAGTCAGATCGGGACAATGCAGCACAGCAGGAAACAAACACTCCCGCAGTCATGCAGATATAATATTTCAGACATAATAAAACTGTTTTGTTCTGACATGTTTTCTTTTAGAAAACTCTCAGCGGAGCTCATTTTCAGTCGTCTTCCAGCCCACATTCCACGTAATGTGGGCCGATCGGCCCCTCAGACGTCCACCTCGCCGACATCCTGTCATCGTTCTGAGCTAATGAGGCCTAATGGTCAAATCAGCAGAACAAGAAAAAGCACTTTAGAGCTGAGGCGGTTGCATCAATGCGTTTCATTTTAATCGCTTCCCTTGTTCTTTTTGTTGTTTTGTTGGGTTTTTGTTTTTTTACCAGCTTTTTATTTGAAATCTTAAATGTCACTCGGCCGTCACAGCAGGTAGGAGCAAGAAGTCCTGATCGGCAGCAAATGTAACGGCAGAGAGAACACCGAAAGTCTACAGCAGCACATTTCATGGTTGCTGTCAGCATTAATATTCAAACAATTTAAAGCTGCAAAAATCAACATTCTAATTTCAGGTCAAAACATTCTAATTTCAGGTCAAACTGTTAGGGTTAGGGTTTGGGTTTGGGTTTGGGTTTGGGTTTGGTGCCATAAAATGCGTAAAATTTCTGATGATCGGACAATTTCTAATGCCGGTTTAGGTTGACTTTTTATTTCTGCAGCCTCAGCGCTGGTACAGGCCATGAGCTTGTTTTCTACCTGTGGTTGTTGGTGTGTGTTTCTCTCGGCAGCAGTACCGGCCACAGCTGTCTCCACTTTGCTTTGCCTCTCAGGCGCAGAGAGTTTGAGCTGAGCGATTAGCTGAAAGCAGCATCATTTAGCAGCAAAGATGCATCTGATTTTTTTTTTTTTTTGCCCCCCTCAACATTACCTTCTCTGTTCTGACCGTACAGATTTACGGAGGATGTTCTCCACTGACTGATGATGTCATCCAGGACACGATACTGAGAAATATCATCTCTGCTGGCGGTTGATCCAGATACAGATCTTTGTGTTGCTGCTTCATTGACTAATTGAGATCTTCCTAAATAGGAAAACGTTAGGTACAACACAAAGCACTCATGGTTTAACAACCATGAGTGCTACTTTCTTCTGTCTTTTTACTCATAAGTAAACAGGGCTGCAAACATCCAGTGAATTTTCCTCACAAACAGACCTGGGCATACACAAATCTCTAGGCTGGTCCATATCTCCATCTGTCATTGGGCTAGAGGTGGGTCACAGTACGGGATATTTACAGGAAAAATAATAACATTGCGGAGAAACGGGGGTGAAAACTTGTCAGGTCATCGCCTTCTCAGGTCAACATGGAGACACACAAAACAAACAAGCATCATCACACAGCTTTTATCTCACAGCTATAAAAAATAAAATAAACATGTAATATTTATTATAATTAATTAATTAATATAGATAGACATATATGTATATATGCTTTTTTTTTTTTTACATGTTGTCACCTTTGCTTGTTGTTACTTAAACTGTAACTGTTTCAATATGAGATTTGTGTTTTGAAAGCGGAAAAAGTTTGGATTCACTTGGAAGGAAAAGTTTTTTGGGGGGGGTTTGTTTCACACTTCAGAGCTGCCAGAACATCTGTTCTCAGTCGGCTCCTCGCTGCCACACACAAGCAGCAGCGGCAGCAGCGTGCCGGACAGATTCATGGGATGGCACTTCCTGCCACATTTTGTTACTCCTGTCACCAGCAGCAGGAGACATTCCCATGATACCCATGATGGGAGTGGGCTGTGGTTGTCAGGGGACGTGTCTTGTCAAACAGTGATATTCTGGAGGGCAGGAGAGGGTCTGCTGGCTGTGACACCCACCTGCATTCCTTCTGTCTGCACTGATTCTTTCGCTACTTAGCAGTGGCACTAAGCTGCAATAAGTCCAACAAGATCATTTAGAAATCCTCTTATGGCTCCAGTGGCCTTTATTTGAAAGTGCTAAGATGGGAAAGAAGGTAAAGAGAGAGAGGGAAGACATGCGGCAAAGGTCATCAGGCCAGGAGTCAAACCTAACAACAGCAGCATCCATGGCTGCTTATGTGGGTTGTGCTTAACCGCTCCACCGCCACACCAGAAATTCTGACGGGTCAACAAAAGTATCCAAAACCCCTCTTCTGCTTTTCCATAAACTTCATCGTACATCAGAGGATGTTGTGTGACAGAGCAACATGAAATTACCACATCAGAGTGAAGCTGAAGGGAAGAAAGGAAAAGATTCAAAAGGCTGCACAAATGAATGACCAGGAAGCCCCAAATAAAACACAGAGCAACAAAACGCGAAGGAAGACGGCAGAAAGAGAAGAGAAGCGTAAAGCAGGATCTGTGATTAAACAATAAATAACTTCTCATGAAGAAGTGTCCAATCACAGAGCAGGACGTTCCTGCACATTCCTACACCACAAAAAACACAAAATCTGACAAAGTAGCTTCGACTGCAAACATCCTGGTTCACCTACCAAAATGACTTCTAGGTGAGTTAATAGGAGCTTGTTTTAATATTAATGATAAAAAAAAGTTCCACTGACATAACAAGAAAATGTCTTGGAATAAGTGCATCTTGTACTTTTTAAAATGATTAATGAATTTTTATTTTTATTTTTTACTGAAAACAAGGTCCAATATCTTGTTTTAAATGTACAAAGAGATTTGAACTATAAACAAGATTTTAAAAAATGACCTTGGCCTCTTCAGTGACTTCCTCTTCAGAATCCACACAGAGCACGATCCTAGTTACGTCTTTAACTGGACGTAAAGATGCTCTTTCCCAGCAAACCGATGACCCCTGCCGGCACCGGAGCGGCCGGGTTTAAAGCACCGGGCATGACTTGAATTGATGAAGCAATCATAACCTTGTGAAGATCTGCTTCAAACTCCGATAAACACACTTCCACCTTCATTAATCCCAGCCTCCGTGGCTTTCTATATTTGGCGGCGACGCAGGCAGGGTGGCCTCCGCGTGGCTCCCTCTGAAGCCCCGGGGGCCGCCGCGTTTTTATTAGCTCTGTAAATCAAAGCGACGCGGGGCCCGCGTCCGAGGGACCCGAGAAATACAAGTTTCCATTAACGTAGAAGAAAAGAACGAATCCTCACTGCAAGAGAGCAATGAATAGCGCTTAAAATCCACTAATGGTAATGATGCAAATAACACAATTAGCCCCGTAATCAAGGTCGGCGCCCCAGCTGCGGTCTGAAATCACGATTCAAGTTTTCTAAACTCCCTCCGAAATAATTATCTCATTAAGTACAAGCTAAATAATCAAGTAATAATGCGCGTGTTGTCATGGGAAGAATGGTAAACTAGTAACCGTAAAAATCAAAAGTTCTTATGGAAATCTAAGTTCTGTTGTCCTCATTGTGAGTCTTTGGGTTGCAGCTTTATGTGAGAGAGAAATGGATGCAGACTTCTGCTTTATTGGTGGTGGATGTCGCCCAGAAGACTGCTGACGCCTGTAATGAAAGTTTTTGGACCCGAAGGTCACAGGGACACATTGTGTGGACGGCTGAGACGACGCGGGGCAAGTCTCATATCCGCTCGACAACGAGATCCTGGGAGATCACGCCGAGTTTCATGCAAACTGCACCTTTAGAAACACATTTACTCAGAATCCTCCTCCTCACACTGTCAAGGACTCTGAGTGAAAGAAATAACTGGATCATCTGAGGACAAACAGTCGAGCTGATGTGGATGTTTTTGCTCTGTAAGCGGTTTATTACTAAACTCTGGTAATCTCTCATAAACCCGATTTATAGAGTAGAAAAGATGCTTCTGGAGCGAGTGCTTGTTGAAAGCACCTTTTGAAGACGAACTGCGTCATGAAGACACACAGATTCAGAAGGAATTCACCCCAAAAGCTTGTCCAGATCAGCATTTTGCAGCCGACGTTGGGAAACTTGAGAGAGCGCAGCAGAACCTTGGCCCAGAAAAGAGCCGTGCCCCGCTGAGAGCCGCCGGGGCATTTCAGAAACAACAAGTCAGTTTCCTCGCCCCGCCTGAAACAAAGAACAAACCATGGCAACAAAAAGAACTGCAAAGCAAAACAGTTGCTGACAATTCCCTCTGGTTCTTTAACACATCGAAGCGCACCGCTGTCTTGATGAACATGAATGTTTGAACGGCTCGGTTGCGTTGGGAGACGAATCTGAGGCGTTGCGCCTGGAGGTCTCCTTCGGTTCGGCGCAGGACCGACCAGGCAGGCCGCTTTGTTTGTTTGTGACTCTGATCCAGACAAATGTCCCCCCAGACGGCGGCGCCGTATTGTTTCTTCAGTCATGGTTTACAAGAAGATCAATAAAACTCTCAAGGAGAAAATGTGAAGCTGGTGAAGCCAGTCAAGCGTGAATATTAGTAATCTGGCTTATCGATTAGCTTCCTTCTTGCCCATATTTTAATATAGAAATCTCAACTTTTTGGTAATTTCTGATTGAAACTTCTTATGTTTGTCAGTGATGATAAATAAAGAATTTTCCGCAGAGAAAGATTTTTTATTTTGCTGCTTCTACATTTTCCCTGAGCCTCTTTCCTTTATTATTATTATTGTTACTATTACAATGTGACCCTGTA